TGCAAACCTTGAGTATATGGGTTTCATTTAACTAGTGCTCCTTGCCAGAGCTCATGAAAGCAAATCCTCTGGCCAAGAAGATTAGCTATGGCAAGCAGTCCTGGCTTAAGTTAAGCCCTGGACATGAGTTGGGGGCAGAAAGGTGAATATGGCTTCTAGCAATCTCCCCCCACTCAAATGAGCAGCTGCAAGGTCTCTCTATCTTTCTCTGTCTCTCCCCCACACAGAGAGACACAGAAAAAGGAAAGTGTGTCTTATCTCCAAAGTAGAAGCCATGCTTGTGTTTTATTGTGGGTGTATTCTTCAACTCTTCTTGACACAACAACAGTGCATTAGTGGCAAATTTATTCTGCTTTATCAGTTGTTATGCGACGCTTCCCCAATCCTACCACATTTTGCTGTCTGGAGGAGTTGCAGCACAATAAATGTAGGACGACAAAGAGAAAAACAAAAACCCCTCAGACTCAGAACATTGTGGCAAGAAAAGTTATGGAACTTCCGAGGGAAGTTGCAGGGTCTGCACTGATTGGAAATGAAGTCGTATGATCACCCCAAAACGTCTGCAGGCACAAACAATATTGAAAGAAGATCATAAGCACAAATAATCATAATTTTAAAAAGGATGCTTGGAGGACTCCTGTTCTGTTTCTGGGTAGAGGCCAGTTCAGGTGAAATTCTGTCTTAAAACAGTTAGGTTACTTGCATACGGTGCATATAATCCTGGGAACCGTATTATGTTGAGAGTGTTGGTTGTGGTAGCTCTATGAGAGGCAAACTCTAGCTCCTGGGGGGTCTCTGGAGAAAGTCATGTGCTTTAATTGTATGACGTGGGTGTGATCTTAAAGGCACAGTGTCTGCTTCCAGCCCTTCAGCAACATCCTAGCACACCTCATGGGGCGATGGAAGGGGAATCGGCCCTAGGAGGTCTCAATTGAGCCAGAGATCCCAGTCCTCGACTAGGGTGGGCAGGTGAAAAAGAGGACAGGGCAGCGCAAAAGAGGGAATTGCACCTGGTGAAATTCCCTCTTCTACACAACTACCAAAGGTGCAGGGAGCCCAGCTCTCTTTTTCACTCGGCTACCTTACCCAGGACATAGGTTTAGAGGGATGGGGGTTCAAGGCAGCATAGTGGGGGTCCTGAGCAAGTGATTTTCCATTTCAGTTCCCATCTGTGAAATTAGAGCAATGATTTTTACCTAATGTAGGAGGCGGGAAAACACAAGCAGGATAATAAAGCACTTTGCAAAAATCAACGCTTCAATCCTATGCACACCAACCCGGGAGGAAGTCTTGTTGAGCTCAGCAGGAACTTGCACCTGAGCAAACATACTTTGGGCCTTGCTGCACTTTACAGTATCTCTCTAGGTTTCCCTGCCGTTTCTCTTCAGAAAACTTTAAAGCTTCATCCAGACGTCAGGAAGTTGCTTTGGCAGGAGTGAGCAACACACTCTTTGTCCTGCACGACTCAACGATGTCCTCATTCCACACAGGCAAAAAAAAAAAAATGCTCTTGCCTCCCTTTCCCATCCCAGCAGGCCTTTTGAGCAGCAGTTTCCCATGTTGTTTTGTTTGCCTTGATAATCTAGCTGGACGTGGGGGCTGACACAGACAAACAGCACCCAGCCCTTTTCAAAACACGCTGGAAGGTGGCTGCAGTTCACGAGAAACATTTTGTGTCAAGATCACCACAGGGGAAAAATATCAAATGGCAGAGGACAAGGATATTCTGTCAGCCTTTGTGCAAAACTGTGTTACTTTTTCCCAAGGCTTCAGCCGCTAAAAAGGGTGGACCAGCAAGCAGCACGAGAGGAATGCCTTGTCTCCAATGGGTGCCACTTGTGGGATGTGAAAGGATATTGTTCAATGGGCCAAGAGCTCTACTTGAAACACTGTACCAGATGACCTTTCAGGAACATGAATAAACATTCTGCTTAAAAAAGAAGGATGAAAATTTTGCAAGCTACAACTTGGAATTAAATCATATAATCCAGGCTCCACCCCAGATTGTGGATAGTGGAGAACAAAATATCACTGCAAACAGCAGTGCCATTTTTAGCTCCTTTCTCTTTAACGTGGACACTTTGGGTGCCAAAGGAATTAAGGAAGTGGCAATAACTAACTGCCTGTTATAGTTTAACTTTCTTTCCTTTTTTTGCCTGCCTGATCGGGACAACCAAAATACCCAACCGTTTTTTGTCCTTGAAAAACGTACCAGGAAGTGCAGGTTTGCTTCAGCTTTGTACAGTCACTCCCTTCCAGGAAAAGCAGGGACTCTGCTTCTGCCAAGTCAGTCTTGCTCTTGCCTCATTAAGTTCCTGAGCAACCTTTTCCGAGTATCTGCTGTGGTTTCTCCCCTCTCTCTTTCTGCAGAGGCCAATTATAAGGCAAAGGCTTCAATGGCAATTGGAGGTTGCAGAGCGGTGCAGATCGCAGAGGCCAAAATACTGCAAGCACTTATGTAAGCTTCGTTCTGTCGAAAGCTGTCAGTTTATGCTCCTCACCAACCTTCCATAAGGACCAAATTAGATATGGCAGGGGTCAGCAACCTTTTTCAGCCAGGGGCAGGTCCACCGTCCCTCAGACCATGTGGTGGGCCAGACTATATTTTTTTTGGGGGGGTGAATGAATTCCTATGCCCCACAAATAACCCAGAGATGCATTTTAAATAAAAGGACTCATTCTACTCATGTAAAAACATGCTGATTCCCGGACCGTTTGCAGGCCAGATTGAGAAGGCAATTGGGCCGGATCCGGCCACCGGGCATACCCCTGAGATATGGCATTTACCTTGCATCTATGCAAAGATGCACTTGGGTTGCAATCCTAACCATGCCTCCTCAGAATTCAACTGCTACTGAATTCAGTGGGACTTATTCCCAGGTAAGCAGAGTTAGGATTGCAGCCTTAATGCCACTTATGCGATGGCCCTGTGTACGCGCGCTGTTGTCCAACATTTTGTCAGTAAAATTATCCGCATCCACCCTGGTAGCTCTTGTCTTATATTCTGCTGCATTAAAGGTGCAGATTTAGGATGGCCACGTGAATGAAGATGACACCCATCTGCTGAAATCCCTTCTGGATAACTATTAAAGGTGCAGAAGCTTTGTCCTGTTTTCCATCTAGCTCCCTCCCCCTCCAATTTTGGGGGTCCCAGCACTGGTGGGAGGAGACAGCTCTCCCTATGTTTCAGCACTGGGCCAAACCTCTCCCAGCTCGAAGGATTCATCCTTCTGAGAATTTCACAGAATGACAAATTCCACCCAGTTCAATTTTTCATGTCTTTGATGCACTCTAATGAGAACAACCGGAGAGAGGGAGTTCAGTCAGCCCAAAGCATTTCACTGCCTGAACTGAAGGACAAGATGTCTCTCCCACTCCCAATTCATGTGCAGAATCCAGCCATCCTGGCAGGTGAATCTCATTTCAAAACTTATTTCAGCATCTTATTTCAACATTCGCAGATATTGCAGCCATGTGCAGACCAAAACAAGATTAACACATTCTTTTGCCTTGCTCTTTCAATAGACACGACACCGTTCATCACCACTCAGCTATGTATGTAACTTGCTGGGCCAGACGCACTCTCAGCCTGACCTATTTCACAGGGTTCTTGTGTGGATAAAATGGGGGAACACAGGGAAATGCCTTTCACCAAGTCAGACCAGTGCTCAATACCGTCAGACGGGCAGTGGCTGCAGTGGCGTAGTGTGGGTTGTCAGCACCCGGGGCAAGGCAAGTAATTTGCGCCCCCCTGGCTGAAATGACTGGCAGAATCCGAGACTTGGGAGAAGAAACAATGGAAGAGGACTGGAAAAAATTTAAGGACTATTTACAAAAACATTATAAGTTGTATGAATGTTAAGAACTTGCATGATTTGGAAATTCTAGCTTTAGCAACTAGATCCAGTGATTAGGAAATTAAGTTTTAAGTAAAAAAAGGTTGAAATTTAAACTAAATTATATTTATTCTAGGGCATAAGTTATTGACAAAAAGTATTTTAAATTTCGAAGTATGATATCTGAAAGATACAAATATGATATGAAATAAGGGAATAATTTGCTGATACGTGTATCGTAAGGAACGCAGGGTGAGGGGGACGTGGGGAAGTCCAGTTGGTAATGTAAAAATGTCTCTGAAAGTTGGATTTTTTTATCTTTATTTTCTCTTGTTTTTCTTTCTTTCTAATATGTCTTACATGTTTCTGACTTTGTAACTGAAAATGTAATAAAAATCTTTATAAAAAAAATAAAAAGGCAAGTAATTTGCGCCCCCTAACCTGTGGATTTGCGCCCCCTAACCCTAACCCCCAGATGTTGCGCCCGGTGCGGCCGGCCCCCCCTGCAGCCCCCGCGCTACGCCACTGAGTGGCTGGTTCGAGGCAGGAGTCCTCACCAGCCCTATTGGGAGATGGTGAGGATTGAACTTGAGACCTTTCTGCACACAAAGTAGCTGCTCTGTCCCTGAACTATGGCCCTTTGGAACCTTGCCTTGAGTTTCTAGGGAGATATAAGTAAGATAGCATTATACCTGCAATGCTAAGTGACTAGTAAGGGAAAGTATCCAGTGACCGAGGGGTCGAGTTGTAGGATCTGAGTTGCCTTGCACAAAAATGCTGCTTTAGTTGCCGCCAGGGACGCGGACTTATAAAAAATATTGGGGGGGCCCGGGAAAGCTCATGAATAATAAATAAGCTCATGAATATGCAAATAAAGTGGCTCCGGCCCTAAATAGGGCAAGCCACGCCCCCCCAGCCAGCCGATTGGCTGGCTGGGAGGTGTGGCCAGTCGGGATTCCCCTGTTCTCGCGGGGGCTGAAACCGCCAGGAGGAAGGAAATTCCCCCCGGCAGTGCCTTGGCAGTGGCGGTGGTGCTGCGAAGCAGCGAGGCAGGAGCCCCCGCCCCCGGCGCCCGAGATTATTGGGGGGGCTGAGCCCCCCCAAAAAATTTTTGAGGGGGCTCGAGCCCCCTCAAGCCCCATGGAGTCGGCGCCTATGGTTGCCGCACCACAAGCCTTTGTTTACACCACAGCCACTGAAGCAACACTATACAACTGGCCTGTTGAGATGCCACTCAGTTAAGGGAGGACAGAGCAAACTGTGCCGGCCTAAATGGGTCAAACCCTTTGGATTCCCAGCAACGACCCTGATGGCAGCCTTGCAGGGCCCCTCCCAGCCCCTCAGATGCCGTGACCTTTTCCAGCCCTTGCTCTGCAGGTTCTTGCGTGCATGCTGACCACAGGGCTTCATCGCCAAGCTCAGTGCGGTGGTCCTCCCTCATAAGCAGCGCAGAGGGTAAACAAACAAGCGGCAGGAATTATACTGCGGAGCGCCCTGGACTGGTTGCTCCCCAGCACTCTGCACGGAGCAGAGCTTTGCAAGCGACGGCAGTTCATGGCGTAAACAAGCCTCCCCAGTGGACTGCCTTGACCCAGACTTTGAGGAAAGCAGCTGGCCAACTGCCCGTGCTCTCATGTTCAGCCACATGGCTCAGGAGCAGCCAAACAGGCGGAGAGGGTTGCATTTTCCCAGCTGTGTGATCCACTCGCTACGCTTGGCCAAGAATCCGCATGCAAGCCCAGCGAGGAGAAGAAAAGAAGCAGCAGCTCCAGCTCCATTGTGCTCCCTCTGCAATAGAAACGAAGACTCTGCAGGTTGCCAGATGTCTCTTTAGTTTAATAGGCATTTGTAATGCTTGAGAGCTGGTTTCTCTTCCAGAATATTACATCAATTATTGCTGCAAGATCTTTCTGGTTCAGTCAGTCTGCCAGTCTGCAGAGAGAAGGATAATATCAGTCTGGGGGCTTGGGTCTAGCCTGTTGGCCTCAGTTGCTCACCCCAACCCCCCTGTCATAAACCTTAGCGCCTATCTAGGTATCCTTTATATTGCACATGTATGATTATTTATGCTCATGATAGCTATAGGAAACCCCACTTTCAACACCGTTTGAGCCTGCTAAAGTTTCAAGATAGACAGACTGCTTCATTTCCATCAGCACCTGTTGCGTAGCTTCTTGCTGAAATTCTGGGGCCTCTGAAGACATATTTTTTTATTCCTGATTATATGTGCTCATGATGGTATCAGGCCAGTCAAATGCAATCCCAGTTTCAATGCTGTTTGCATCTAAAACTGCTTTGGAGTAATCCCACGGCTTCATTTCCAGTCAGTGCATATCCCGTAACTTGTCGCTGAAATTCCATAACTTTTTGTTACCACACATGTTCTGGTTTTGGGTTTTGTTTTTAAACTTTTGCCCTGCTTTTCATAGAATAGTAGTATTGTAGAGTTGGAAGGGACCCAGAGGATCATCTAATCCGACCCCATGCATTGCAGGAACCTCAACATCAGTTCCCCATCCAATTGGAAACCATACTGGACCCTGCTTAGCTTTGCAAGCTATGCTAGTTACTGCTGTGCCACTAGGAGGACATAGCGCTATAGTTCAAGACTGCACCTCCAGACAGCAACAATGCAGTAACATCGTAGAAGCATCGCAGAACAAATTATGAAGAGAAATGATGTGTGGACAGTCCAGTATAAACCCACTGCTGATGCACTATTATTGCATCAATTACATTGTGCAAAATGCACCTGCCAAAAGACAACATTCTGGAGTGACCCATTATGCACACCCCTTAATTACCCCCTTGGCTTTCTACTTCTCACCCTGTGCACAGCCAGTTATGTTCTAAGAGGGGTCCAACTCGTTCTCGCCCTGACAGCTCCCCATTGCTCAATATGCCCTGAGAGTAAAGGCAGCATTCCCCCTCTAGCAAGGCTTCCTTCCTGGGCAGTGAAGCTCCTGGCAGCAGCTCCTGTGCATTGCCAAGCAAACAAAACATCCCTGGGGCATTTTATTCAAGCTATGCCATGACGATGCTTATTCCTTGGAAATCCAGTGAGGTCATAGCCGCTGGAAACGTCCAGCAACAACTTGGTTACGGATTATTTATTTACCATCAAGCTGTAGTTATTGATTTCAGGATTTTGCATGAGCCAGGGTTACTGTGGGCAATGTGAGAATGGAGGGGAAAGTGTAATAAATTCCTATGTTTTCCTGACTTCTGTTTCTTGTGAACTGCAGGGCTACTGGGCAGGGATTGGGCTGCTTCCATGCCTAGGACACTGCAGGGAAGATACAAATACTAATAGCCAGTAGTGTGGTAACTGGACAGTGTAGTGTACTGGTTAGAGTGCTAGGTTAGGACCCGGGAGATCAGGGTTTGAATCCTCACTGAGCCTTGAAGCTCACTTCCTGAGTGACTTTGGGCCAGCCCCTGCTATCCTACCTCACAGGGTGGTTGTGATGGTAAAATGGGGAGAGTGAGAGTTGTGTACACCAGTTTGAGCTCCTTGGAAGAAAAGATAGGTTATAAATATAAAAATAATTAATTAATTGCATGGCATAGTGTAACTTTACTTTTTTATTATTAAAATAAATAAAATAACCACCCTGGGTTGCTTTGTGAGGCTGAGGTGTAAAAATAAATAAAAATAACGGTGCTGTTGAAAATATTTTGTATTGGTTGAATTTGAAAAAAATTGATGTTGCAACCTAGACACTAAAAAAGAATAGAACAAGCCCCAACATTGGAGGATGGGGTGGGCTGTATTTAATTTCCTCTCTGGGACCCTGCAGAAAATATCCATGCTTTCTTCTTTTGTATGGACGTGTTTATATAAGAGTGGAGCACAAGGCTTTTACGCTGCCGTGACGTGTCTAAAAGAGGGAAACTGTGCGGTTGGGGCAAAGCTGTAGAGTCAACAACAGGAAGGATGCAGTACGGTGACTGCAACACGGGATATAGTCGAGAACTCATGGCGTGGAAGAAACTGGGCTGGCAGCAATTGCATCAGTAAGGAGGGTTTTTTTGGCAGGTAGGTGGGGAGGAATAACCCATGAAACAGGAAGAGAAACAGACAGAACTCATTGTCCCCAGTAAAGAAAATAAATAACAGCTCCCTTGTACTCTGTAGGTATCTAATACGTCAAGACTTCAAGAGTGAGCTTTCAGAGACGCATCTTGCTTCAAAACCAAGTTGCACCTTTGCATCTTGTATATTTAATACCACTTTTCTGTTAGTCAAATAGTTCATTTCTAATTGCTTGCTCGATTTATTAGGCAAGCCAGGACATAACCTAAGAAAGGGGTCGCCCAAATAGCACGGAAACTTCACATACATTTCCTCAGACATGATTTTCTTCTAGCAGTTTCTCTCTACCCCAACCCCCCGCAAGCGTCATTTCTCACAGAACAAAAGAGGGTTTCCAGGCCTCATGAAGAAGGGAGCTGTTGCTGCTGCTTCCACCAGTGCACACTGCTCTCAGGGAAAACCCACACTAGTTGAAAAATTTCCTTCTGCAAAATGACAGGCCTGCAGTTTACTGACTGTGGAAATCTAAGATCAATGAAGGAAAGAAGATAGCAAGTTCCTGTTGGCCAGAATGGATAGTGTCATCAACAGCCCATCTGGGACATCCCATTTCTTTTTAGCCCTCCCACACTGACTGCCCATTTCTCTGGTAAACTGCCTAAGAATACCAAGGTTGCAGATTTTTTTTTGGTGATTTTTTCCCCTTAAAAAATGTTGAGGGGTACTCTCATTTTCCTACTCATATTGAAATACTGCCTCTCAATGAGGCCAAACTTAGAGTCACAAAATGTTTAGGGGTATGCGGACCCCTGTGTCCCCCCAGAAAAAAAGCACTGGTTTCAGGTTTGATCCCATTTGGGACAGCTGCATATTCCTGCATTGCAGGAAGTTGGAGTAGATGAGCCTCAGGATTCCTTCAAACTCTACAATACTATGGTTCTATGATTCTAAGAAATGGAGCCTTCCTATTAACATCTGCACAACAGCATACAGATATGTGTGTGTGTGTGTGAATAAATATAAACTCTTGTTCACCTCTGTACACTACAAGACACTTCTGAAGACTCTCATGCCAGTGTTTGATCTACAAATCTAAAATATGCTTCATGCTTTTTATAGGTATCTAGGAATGCAACAATTGCTTGCTCAAATGCTTCTGGAAACAGAACAGGCGTGAAGTCTGAATGAATTTGGCTCACAATGAAAATAGGGAAAGGAAACACTGGTTTGCAGTCATCACTGTTACTAAACTGGTTTCCATTATCGGCTCCTCTGCCAACGTGACTGTTATGTACAGTCATACCTCAGGATGAATACGCTTCGGGTTAAGCATTTTCGGGTTGCGCTCTGTGGCGACCCAGAAGTAACGGAGTGCGTTACTTCCGGGTTTCGCCACACGCGCATGCACAGACTGTTAAAATGATGTCATGCGCATGCGCAGAAGTGCCGAAATGTGACCCACGCACGCGCAGACGTGCGGACACAGGTTATGTTTGCTTCGGGATGTGAACGGGCTCCGGAACGGATCCCGTTCGCATCCCAAGGTACCACTGTTCTAAGCTTGGATCCTAGAACAATAGGCAAGTAGGATCCTAGAATGCATCAACTGATTGGCCTGCAGGAAAAGACCAATCAGGCTCCAGGAGGGAAGCAGAATCAGCCAATCAGCCAGGACTCATTGTGTAAATAATGTATATAAAAGCCTGAGGTTTGGGGGGCAATTGATTCACTTTTTTACAAGCTGCAATAAAGAGCATGAAATAAAGAGCATGAAACTACAGGACTCCGAGTGTATTTCAGTGACATTCCCTCTTGGAGCAGATAGTGGTTTGGGGGCACAGTTTAATGGGGGCATGAAGCGAGGCTTAAAGATTCAAGCCATAGTTTCCTCACCCCTGAATTAGCCTGATTCACAAAAGCCCTGAAGAATATAATATGATGGACCAGATCCTCTTGGCCATGGTGATTAAGGTTTGGCCAGCTTCACGTTCTAGTTTCTATTTTTAACTCTTATGTTGAGCAGTCCACAAAAGTGGGAGATGGCTGGGTTGTATCTGTGTATGCTGTGTTGTGTCTTGCTAGTTAGCATGAGAAGGGGCTAAGTCCACAGAGCTGTATTGCTGATAGGCAGCTGCTCAAACCACAGAAATACAACTGGTAGAGAAGGCTCTGTGTGATGTCATTTTCCCTCCTCTCCTAGAATGGAAGGAGCATATAATACTTCCTGTTCCCCTCTCTCTTCCTTTGACCAGCATTGGATACAGACATGCCTCCGCCTGCTCCAGTTTTAGGCCCATGCCTGAAGCTGGTTATACTGTAAATATAAATATTTTGCCTGCGTAGTTTTTACTGCTGCCATTGTTGTGAGCCAATGCATAATTATAAAGTAAGTAAATCTTATTTTTAAACTTACTTTACAAGCTCTTGCCTGATTCTTTGTTAAGCGGGGTAAGAAGGGGGGGGGAACCAGCTTACTTCATTAGCTGGACTTGCTCAAAGCAAGGCTTTACAGCCTAATTCCTTTTAATTCTGCTGCCAACAAGGATGGAATTTTGAAACTCTGTTCAACCCACACACGTGGGAGCCTGGAGGGATAAGTTGCAATTAATATATCCTCTCCTACCCGTTGAAACCCATGCCATAATTGACACATTGCTAGTGAATAAGTATGTTGACATACTCTTGTTTTTAGGAGGCCACAGTGGAGCTAGAGGTCTAGTGCTCTTTTCATACATTGAATGTCTAGGATGGTATGAACTGATCCAGTTTAGTAAGAACATACTACTAACTATGGTCTACCTAAAAGCTTCCCAAGTTCCTGACTGAGTGCCTTTAGCACACACCAGGATGACGCAACCCGGAAGGAAAGGTATCCTCTTGCTCAGGATCATTGCATCTTTCTGATGCCTGTAAATAAGCCTGCAATTCCACCAATCTGCAGTGCCAAAAGTGCAAGGGCCACTAGGAACGAGCCAGGCCGCTTTGGTGACACGGAGCAACGACATGGATGAGAATGCGTTTGCCCACATGCTGAACTGATGTGTGTCTGTTTTATTTCTAAAATATAGCAACTGTTTCACCATGAATTCAGTGTACACAGCAAAAAACAACAACCCACCAACCCTAAATGGCAGATAGTCATAAAGATGCTAAAATCAATCAATCAATAAATCATAATACAGCAGAATGGCGTATCATAATTCACAGTCAGAGCCCTTTCACTACTACAAATCAACCACAGTTAGGAATCATACCTGAGATTTGCTGAAGGGGCAACTTCCAAGCTTGGTCGCTCACTCTAATTTTTGGAAATGAAGCACAGGATGTGAACACCAGACGACTTTTCTTCCCCATCCTTGAAACTCAAAGCAGATGCCTTTAGCCTATGGGAATAGAGGGTATATTACGCAGGGCTGCTATGCACTCCGCAATTCTGCAGGAGTGCAGAAGAAGTGTTTTTGTTTTTTCTTCTTTTCTATCCTGCCTTTCCTCCAAAGAGTTTAGGAAAGTGTACACGGTTCCCCACAACCTTATTCACAATAACCCTGAAAGGTAGGTCAGGCTGAGATATAGTGATTTGTTGAAGGTCACCCAGTGAGGTTTATGGCTTTATGGAATTTGAAAGCTGGATCTGCTTCGTTTCTGATTTGACACTCGCCTTCTGCGCCACACTGCAGGCTGATAAACCTCAACTTGCATTTAAAACTGAAACAAAACCCTAGCCCTGATGGCTGTGAAGATAAGATATGCTTGGAAGTGTGTAAACAGAGGTGGCTGAACAAGATTCCCGGGAGCTGGGGTAGGGCTTCAGTGCCATGAACAGCTCCTTGTCTGTTCTGCAACTAGAAAAACCAGAATAAGTTATGCACAACAGTCAAAATTTTAGAAAAAGTTCTGAAAAATAAGATAAACAATGCAAATTCTGAACTTGCATAATTTATACGGATAAGAGAATCCTAATGTTCTTGGTGCAACATTTGGATTGCCCATTAATAGAATTCTACATGTTTTTGGACAGGGGAACTATCCTTGGAATTGCTGATGGCTTCACCTTTCCTGAGTTAGAAGTAAGAGGAACATCAGAAAGCATGAGATTTATTATCACAGCATATTTGTTTTACGCAAACCACACACAATTTGCATAAATTTCAAGAGCATTTTGAGGCTCTCCCATCGAGCGGATGCAAACAACTTCCCAAAATAGCTTGGAAAACCAGTTTAGTTTTCTTTCTCTTCTTTCTTTCATTTCTATACCGCCTTTCATCCAAGGATCCTAGGGCAGTTTACATTATAAAAGCACAAAAATACATAATATAGTAACAAACAAACAATACTGTTCCCTCCCGAGCAATAGTTGGGGTTTTTTTTAGAAGCCCAGTTTATAAATGACAAGGAACTTTGCTCAATTTATTCTTGACATGGTTACTGTTCAAACAGCTTCCCTTACACAATTTACTATTTCCCCCTCCACCCCGCCCACAGAGCTCAAACAGATGGCTCTTGCTTTGACACGCAAGAAGCTTTTTCACTTTTAATGCACCTCTTCTGTTAGTCTACCTAGCTTAATGAAGCATGTGTGATTCTTACGGTTATACAAAGGGTGGCATAAGCCATCTAAGGACTCAGGTTTTGTACCTGTGCATGCCCCCTCTTTTTCACTTCCCACAAAAATCTGTAATTGCTAATCACTCTCTTAAAATTTCTTTCTGGAAATACATATACCTCTTCTCATATATATAAAATGTAACACCTCTGCCTGGCCTCAGTTTTGTAAATACATGGGGGTTTTCCTCCCCCCATCAGGACTGCAAAGCCGTCAGTAAATTATCCAGACAAAATTACCTCAGAAAGCACTCCGCTTGCGGGGGAATTGGTGTTTGCCCATACTTGAAACCACTAAGTCAAGTTGCTGGTCAATTGCTACTCTTCATTCAGCAAGTGCAGCTCTCATGGCTGTTTTGCTCTGGAGATGGCAGTTGTGCTAGTATAATTAGCGATAATGCCCATAATATAACAGGGGACGTCAACAGTTCCATTTCTGCCTCCTGCACCATTTTGAAATCCATTCCCGTCAACAGTCTCGATTCGACTGGGACACCCTGGAATGACAGAAGCTACCCTGGCTTCGGCCTGGATGTCCCATTTTCAGTGCTGAGCTCTTGCATGAGTCAGCTGGCTCCCATGTGAGTTCGGCACTAAAAGATGTGTCTTTCGCACTAAAGAAGGCACCCGAGCAGGAACCCATGGAGGGGGAGCTGCTGCTGGTGCAGGCCAGGCCCAGAGGCTACGCTGCCTCCTCCTGACGCCACCCCTGCTGAAGGAGGAGAAAAAAGCCAATGAGGATGATGAGGATGGGGACGGGGAAGAGGAAGAGGAAGAGGAGGAGGAGGTGTGGTGCTTGCTGAGGGCGCTGCTTCCAGTAATGGAAGAAGGGGCTGGGATAGGGCAGCCCCAGCTGGCTCACACAGGAGCGTGGTAGCGAAAGATGCAAGTCCCGATTTTGATTGGCAGAATGTTGGAGGATACAGAAATCCCCACCAGTTTTGATCTTCTCCTCTGCTTTTTATTTCTTCTTGTCAAATTTATTCCCTAGAGGCCTTGAATGTATTCTCTCCAATGCATGCTTCCTACAGTTAAAACTGAAGCGCTCACAGGTCTCCCACACACTTCCATTATGTGAACGCTGCATGATACAACAGGCACAAACAGCTTCACAAGTAAGCAGGGTTCTTTTTATTTAATTTATGCAACTTCCCTCTTATAGCAGCTCCACCATTTCCAGGCTCAGTTCAAAAGGCTGCTTACCGTCAAAGACCCAAACTGCTTAGACCCACAATACTTCTGTTGGTGGCAAGGGAAAAAAATAGGTATAAAAAGGAGAATCCCTGGATGCCAAGATCTTAGTTTGGGGCAAGTAATCTTTGGTGAGAGAATCACAACATAAGCAATAAAGTAAAGCATGGAAATATAGGTAGTTAGTCCTTTAAAATATGCCAATGTGAGTTCCAAAACGTCCCTCTTCCCTTAGCATAAAAAACAAATCACACATTTGGTAAGTTTAAAATGGTTTACTTACGAACTCCCCAAAGGTCAGATTTATGTGCTTTTCCATACAGCATTCATAAAAAGTTGCACAGGCAGTAAAACATGGCCTAGTTACAGTGGTGAAAGTTCCTAAATTATTGATATAGGAACACCTCAATGGCTTGTGAAAGCCATGCGGCTAAGCTGGAGCAACCTGTTTAGCCTCTTCACCCACTGAGCTTCTAAGGGAGACTGGAGGGTAACAGTGGCTTGATTACCTAGTCCCTCCCAAGGTGAACTAAGCCTGGCAGGACAGCTTATTCAATTGTCTTAAGTCCTTCGTGCACTAATTAGACTTAAGCAGGTTAGTTATGAGGTTGCTTATCCTGCAATTGAAAGGGCCATGTCCTCTCCATATTATTGTCTGCTCATTTAGAATCTCCGTCTCCGAAATCCTTCTCAGTGTCCCACTGCCACTTTCAGAGGTGCCCATTTTGCACAGGTGAATGTTCAGAAAGGTGTCCTCTGTTGTGGTACCTAGGATGTGAAGCTCCCTATCTGCAGATGATTGATCATTTCCCTCCCTGTTTATGTTTTGATGACAGCTAAAGACGCCTCTGTTCTGACAAGTCTTTCAGCCAGGTGAGTCTTCTTTGAATTTATAGCTCCTGCTTCCCCAATTTTCTTTGCTGCTCCCTTTGTGTGGGTTAAGTTTTGAGTGGAATTTTGATATTTGTGGCCTTGGGCACTGCAATTTGAAATAGAAAGGCAAGATAGGAACATATGAATGAGCAAGCTGCAGAAAGCAGCGTTGCTCCCGTGAGAAAGAATCTTGGCTTGGAACATCCGAAAGTCAAGGTTAGGTTGCCTCTTTATGCCTTCATTGCATTAGCACATGTCCATGACTGGTCCCTCCATGGATATAACCTGCACAGTTGGCAACCCACTACCATCCCAGCATGACCCAGCTCCTCCGAAAGCTGCTTTTCCTATTAAAAAAATAGACATGCATTTGGGTGCAATGTTTTGTTTGGCCCAGAGTTTACAGTGCAGGTATTCACAGTGCAGCAGTGTAGGGCCCTTAACCCTTTCCTTGCCCACCACAACTTCTCTCCAGCCTCTTCCATCCCCCACCATTGACAGGATTCCACACTTTTGCAGATATGTTTTTAGAACCCCATTGGAGGAGAACAGCTTGGGGGGGGTTGGATTTCAGAATAAAAGCAGCTGACTAAGGTAATATTAACCTCAGCAACCCACACCCACCAACAGGCTACTTCCCTGCTTCAAATCACTCCCTTTGCCAAGCAGCTGTTGGGAGTTTCGCTGTACACATTTCTGTATAAAGTGTCGTTTGGCCCGGAATCTGAATAACTGGATGAAACCTCCCCTCAATTATATTACATTACATAAGGCATGCTCCAATTTCCTCCAGTTGTATTGTTATTTATAGGTGTTGCATTGCATGACAAGGAACTAAGACGGGTCTGCAGAAACTGAGTAGTTAAGACTGCTTTGATTGTCAACTCTTCTTTTTTTTTGTCAGAAGCTTTGATTGAGCCATTTTGGTGGCTTATCTGGTTAGGAGAATCTGGAACTTCTGATTCCCATGTAGACTCTGTTCTTTGGGTAAGTGAAAGACTTCAGCTTATCCAGTCATGCAAACACATACCACCCATATTCTTCACTCCTCCACATACTCTCAGTTGGACCATTAAGGAAGTCATTCTCTGCAGTTTGCCAGGAAAGTGTCAATGGCTTTTGCTTTGGCATGGGCATCATTAAGGGAAATGAGAGAACAAGCACTACCATCCTGATGATTTGGATCACATGTGATTTCACATAAGGTGTTTTTTTAAAAAAACCCTAACCACTACAAATGCAACCGCACTGCTTTTGAGGCAATTTAATATTGAATATATCTGAGATCAGGGCTCTTGAAATTTGCCCTGCTCTGCTGACATTCATCTCTCTTTTGGATTCTAAAATCTGAAATAGTAATTTGGATCTCATTTAAACTATTCTATGTTGGTTGATGTGGGGTAGCAGAACTTGGTATACCAGAACAAGCCACACCACAAGAGATACCTGTGATAAAGAAGAGTTCACTCATTGCTTACTCGGACCAGAGTTGTTGCACCCGGACTTAACTCCTACGCTTCCTGTAAGCTGTTTTTACGTGTGGCAAAAGAATCAGGTGAGGACATTCTGACATGGCCCCCTTCACAAGCCAAAAACACAGAAATTTGTGGCTTATGGGTTGCCATCTCTAAGTGCAAGGACATGGAGTGGCTTTCTGAGACTTTGGGTGGCTTTCAGAACCACAGGATGGGCAAGTAGAAGCTGCTAGAGTGTGGCC